AGGGATGCGACAGTGCACCAGACTTACGTACAACTTTGTACTGGTCTAAACATTTACACATAGACTAACGGTGAATGCATGAGAGAACTATGACGGCCTTGGATTGATTTCGATTGTTCCGGTTGGTGGAGACCATTTCAAGAAAATAGTTGAATTTTATAAAAATAAACTAAAGATTTTCAGAGTCGAAAAATCCGAATCTATAGGAGGTTTCTCGAAATTCTCGAGTTTAATTTTCTCGTTCGATAAAGGATTAATTCTCACGATTTAGTCATGTTTTATAAAATTCAGCTATTTTCTTGAAATAAACTTTCCTCGACTAGAGCCCATCGGATTGGTCCTGCACTCAAATTCGACTAGGTGCAGGACCGAAAAGTTTGGACCCAATGGGGTTTACTCTCGACTAAAAAAGTTGAAATGAATCCAAAGATCACCGTAGCTGTATCATAGGTTCAGTCTTTATCGTTATTCTATGAGTGTTCGTCTAGACTAGTACAGTGCCTCACCTAAGATCAATGATCACTGTTACCATTACATTCCTTATCTTGTAGAATCTTCAAGATATTTGATATGTCATCATAGAATAGACTTTTTGTAATACTTATTAAATGATAGAAAAATTTTTCTTTAGGAAAACAACGTCATCTATTTTCTTTTATCGGAGAATTGAAAAATAAATTCGATAGAAAAAATAAATAAATATATATATATGTCCAGTTTCGATTGGATCTTACGAAATGGAAACATTGCTTTACTTTTCTTCCTTTCTTTTCTTCAACAATTATTTTTATTGGCACGTGTACGAAATTTTTAGTATAAATAAATTATCTAGTCAACTAGTAGAAAAACAATCGACGAAGACAATAGCTAGTTTTGAACCAAGAGAAGAAAAAATGGATATAAAAAATACTCATCAATTAATTGTATGTATAAAATTATTAATATTTTATTATTAAATTTTTCAATTGAATAGAATGGTTCAAATGATCTTGATAAAATGGCACCCGAAGATATGACATCAAAAGAATATTATCTTGATACAAATGCTCATTTTGGTGTTCATGAAGTTTGTAGAAAGAAAAAAATAAATGTTTTTTACTTTTTTATCTATTGATATTTTTTAGGAATTATTAAAAGATGAAATTCGAACAAAAACATTTCGTAATGCTATTATACATAATCGAGATTTATTTAAAGATAAAATAGTATTAGATATTGGTTGTGGTATTGGTGTATTTAGTTTATTTGCAGCTAAAGCTGGTGCTAAAATGGTTATAGCGGTAGGCTTGTGTTTTTTTTTAAATTAAACAAAATAAAATTCGGAATTGATTTTTAATTAGGTTGAAAAATCTAATGTTATTGAATATACAAAACGTATTATTCATGCAAATCGATATGATAAAGGTCAATAAAAAAAAAAACAATTTCAAATTTTTAAATTTTCTTTGTTTTTTTTTTTTGTAGTAATTAGAATAGTTAAAGGAAAAATTGAAGATATTGAATTACCTGAAGGTATTGAAAAAGTTGATATTATTATTGCTGAATGGATGGGTTATTGTTTATTTTATGATTCAATTATTAAAAGTGTTATCTATGCTCGAGATAAATTTCTTGTAAATATTTTTAAATTTTATTCAAACAATTTTTTATAGATAATTTTATCAAAGTCTAAACAAAAGAAAAAAAAACATCATCTTTTTACTATGCTCATAATTTAATAGTTATCGATGAAAATTTTTTGAAGAGCGTTATTCGATTATAAAGAAAACCAGGTAGCTCTTTTGCACAAAGCATTTATCGAAACAGATTTTTCATGTAGATACAAAATTACAGTTTCGGACAACATTTTAATTTTTTTAGAAATTATCTATGAATGATGCCTAATTATCATTTTTCAGTGTCCATTCAAGTAAAGGAAAATATTTCGAATTCGTCGCTCGATAAGAATAATATTCAGAAAAAAAACATAAAATTTTTGCCAGTCCAAGTTTGGAGAAAATTGCCAAAGTAAAATATTATTTCGTTAGCAGATGTCCTCTAGATTTTCTAAAAATATTTTTCAAAAGAAATACAATTCAGTTAATCAAAACCAGTTTACTACTTGATACATCGAAACATTCTGCATTTCTTACTATTAGTAGCAAATTTTCAAAGTCTAACCGAATTAAAATTGAGATCATGAAAAATGTCCAATTTTTCTATTGTGAGCATCTTAATGATACTATTCTTGAGCATAGGCTTTTCATGAAACACAATTTAAAAGGACTGTTGAAGTACAAGAATATAAATTTGGATTAGAATTATAACCGGTAACAATACACGGTCGATTCGGTATCGACTTTTTCGGATTTTTGTATACCTTTTTCCGTAAATTAAACCATTTCTATTGATGTCAATGACTATTTCTATGAAGAAATATTCATCAAAATACGCCTAATACATATTTCATCAACTCATTTCGATATCACGTTATATCATTGAAACAAGATGAAATGCTTGTTCATCATTGTAATTTATTATATATTTATTTGCATTTCGTATTATTCGCAGAGACACATATCGACGTCTCTGTCACAGTCTATCAGTAGGTTAACAGAATATCGGCACATTTGTCGCGGTCTTTCGGACAAGCTGGAGAAGGTAGACTCAATTTTCTCGCCATATACTTCAACACATATTAACAATCATGTTTCACAAAAGCACTAATATAGTGGAATAGGATCCTTATGTAATTTTTATAGTGATTTAGAAGTAAATATGACTAATCGAAGCGTTGATTTGACTCTTATAAGATGAGAAAAGTGAAAAATAACTCATATCAATACTCGTAAAGGAAATAATCCTACCAGTTGCAATTCTGATTTGAACCTCTCACAAACTATATATCAATAATGTCTTGTAATAATATATGAACTACTTTCTCATTGTATTTCTGAAGGATAAAGTAGAACAATAATTAAGAAATGTGTCTAGAATAAAATAATCTTCCTATGATTACCAACAGTAGCTACATCGTGTTTCAAATTTTATTTCTGCAAGGATTTCACTAATAGCTTATTTTAAAAAAAAAAAAGAATATATCCATAAAATCTACAGTAAATTCTCTATTAATTCATATGACATTATTTTTTTCGTTCTTAGAAACCTGATGGTCTTATCTTTCCTGATCGTGCAACAGTATATATGGTCGGTATTGAAGATCGTGATTATAAAGAAGATAAAGTTGAATGTAAATTAAATTAATTTTCTAAACTTACAAAAAAAGTCTTTAATTTATTTCCAGGGTGGTCAAATGTTTATGGTTATAATATGAGTTGTTTAAAAAATTATGTTATGCGTGAACCATTAGTTGATACTGTTGATAAACGTCAAATATGTACGGATCATTTTCCACTTAAAGTAATAATATTTAATGTTGATTTTTATTAAAAAAAAAAAAAAAAAGCCAAACAATCTCTTTTTATTTTATATATTAGACATTCGATTTAAAAACTATGACTATCAATGATATAAATATTGATGCTAATTTTCGACTTCATGCTCTACGTGATGATTATGTACATGCATTTGTAACATATTTTATTATTGAATTTACAGCATGTCCTCAACGAACAATAATTAATACTGGTATAATAATTTATGACAAAAAAGAAAAAAAAAACAAGAAATTCTTTTTTTATTTTTGATTTAGCACCTGGTGCTGGTTATACACATTGGAAACAAACTGTTTTCTATTTTCCTGATTATTTAACAATAAAAAATGATGAAATTTTAGAAGGAAAATTTTCATGTAAAGTTAATCTGGAAAATACGGTATGTATAAATAAATAGATAAATAAAATTATTTTGTTTTTTATTTATTAGAAAAAACTTGATTTTGGTATTGATTTTCAATTTAATGGAGAACTATCAAGTTTACATAATCAAAATCAATATTTTATGAAAGGTTAAGTTATATTATTGAAGCAAAAGAAAATGTTTTTGTTTGTTATTTGTTTGTTCCTTTTTTTTTTTTTTTTTTACTTTGAAAAAAGTGAAGAATCCGTAGAAGAAGATAATAAAGCTTTTCTTGTTCGTTCATGATCATCTTCGCATAAAATTTGATTATTATATAAAAAATATCGATCACCAACACAAAATCTATAAAAAAAAAAATTCTATAAATAATTAAAATTTGATTTTAATAACAAACTTTTGTTGACATTCATAGCATGAAAAACAATTTAAATGATAAACAAGTTCTCCACAACGCATTACTAAATCAAATGCTGGAACTAAAATAATAATTTTCAAAAAAAAACAAAAAAAACAACTTTTATTTCTTACTGAGTCTTTGACAACTAGCACAATGACCAGTCATACCAAATAGACGTAAATAATCACGTTTACAAAGTATTAAATTAGCTTTTAAATATAATGTTGAACCGGTTTCACCTAAACGACAATCGCAACAAGCACATTTTAAACAATCTTCATGCCACATTTTATCCAAAGCTTGATAAAAAAAAATATATATAATCATAAAAATTAATTATTTTATACAAAAATCATTTCATACCTTGAAGCATATATCGATCATTAATTATTTGATTACAATTAGCACAAATATAACTTTTATTTGTTGAAATAATATTTGTATTTGTCATTGTATCAAAATCTTTAATATATATAGAAAAGTAATACAATAATTCTCGATTTATTCGAAGAGAAGGATAGATGAAAAAAGAAAATTTGATTAAAAAGACAGACAAAGAAAAAAAAAAGAATGATGATGATGATGACATTTGGGCTTCTATTTTTAATTAAAATAAGTGTATATAAGTGTGAGAATTCCATCACGGTCAATTAGTCGACAAGAAGAAGAAGAAGAAGAAGAATGAGCCATCTGTCGTGCATGCTATAGATTATCATGAACATCTCACTTTTTTTTTCTATTCGAGCAACAGCAGTAGAAAAAACAAAAAGGTAATGCAAATGTAAATTACATTTGTCATCTTTTATTTTACATCTCTAATATATATATATATATATATATATACGGTCAATATGTCCTACGGATCATTGTGTCGACCATATTGTCATCTCATCCAATTTCTTGTCTCAATTCTCTCATGAGAGGCATATTCTTCTCTTCTTTCTCTAGAATAACTAATTACAAAGAATAGCAAAATGATGGGTAAACTATGATAACTGTACTCGATGTGCATGTTATGCCGGAGAGAAATTGGAAAGCGCCAATAAACGCCAGTAACAACAGCAGTTATAATGGATAGCAAAAAAAAGATAATTCATTCCCGCAAACCAATTAACTATTAGATTGAAGAACTAGCTATATGATTATTCATTGTCTTTAACAACAGACGTGCGTGTTCGGTGTAAGAGATGATTTTGATGAATATGAAAATCGTGCTACACGCAATAGATGAACACAATCACTAAAAGACTAATTTGGTTAGGTTTTTTTTTTCTTTTTTAATAGAACATCTAGGAAAAGAAAATAAATTGTCATTTTAATTAGATATTCAAATGTCAATCGAATTTTTTTTTTTTTGTTTATTTCGAACTAAATTAGTTATGAATAAAGAAATATGTGTTGATGAAAAATATTTTTTTCGTACTCGCAAAAAAAAAAAGAACAGTGAAAGTGGTCACAATGTTTTTGTTAAACAGAGATATTTATACATAAAAATAAATTAATGAAATTTAAAATTATACTCATTGATGTTTCAAATAAAACAATATCAATTTCTTAATTCTGTAATAATCATATTAACATTACTTAATTTATTTTATAAGTCACTGTTGTTATCAAAGATTTGTAATCATCTTAGATTTTTGTTTTTTTCTTAAATAAATAAAATATTTTTATTTCATGATTTAAAATACTAAAATTTGATTATTTAATTTTGCTTTTAAATTTGATTTCAATTTTTTTTTTTTAAAGAATTCTTTTATTATCATAGAAAAATTCAAAAATCAATATTAAAATAAAGAATGACAAGCTCTCAACGCCCTCATGAAATTCATTTATTAAACGAAAATAATTATTGGTGTAAATAAATGACATACGTCATAATGATTTATTCTTGACAAACTTTTAAAATAGTAAAACTATATTTGATAGTATAAATCTTTATAGTTAATTAATTATTTGAATAAAAACAATTTTATAATTAAAATAGTCATGTTTCATGTATTTTATGTCGTAATTTATTTATGTTATTGCGTAATAATATAGCAATAACATTTATATAAAAAAGCATGATTTTATTTTTATAGATCAATAGAATTTCTTTAAATATACGTATTCATATTGTGTAATGGCTTCATCATCGAATAATTCTATTAAACAACAAAATTATGATTATTTTCTTGTACTTGATTTTGAAGCAACATGTGATGAAGAAAGAAAAATTTATCCAATTGAAATTATTGAATTTCCTGTTTTAAAAATCAATGCACGTACATTTGAATGTGAATCAATATTTCATACATGTTAGTAAAAATTTATTTTTTTATTTTTAATTACAGAAAAAAAAGAAATTTTTTTTTGTTTTTTGTTTAAGATGTAACACCAACAATAAATCCTCAATTAACTAAATTTTGTATCGATTTAACTGGTATAACTCAAGATATGATTACAAATCAACCAAAATTTGATGATGTTCTTCAAAATTTTCATTTATGGCTTAATAATGAAAAACTTCTTGAATCAAATACGAAATTTATTTTTGTTACTTGTGGTGATTGGGATTTATATACAATGTTACCTAGTCAATGTAATTATTTTAAATTATCATGTGCTGAATATTTCAATCGATGGATTAATATTAAAAAATCATTTAAACAAGCTACTGGTAAATTTGCACGTGATGGTATGATGGGCATGTTAAAAGATCTTAATATTCAACATATAGGAAGACATCATAGTGGTATTGATGATTGTAAAAATATTGCAGAAATATTAAAACAATTAGCTAAACATGGATATATATTTGAAGAAAATAGAAAAAAATAATGATTTGATTTCTTTTTTTTTGTTTTAATTTTTTAATAAAAAAAATCGTTGTGGATTTTGTCCATCGAAATCAATAAATGGATTTAATATTTTATGTTCGACAAGATAAATAGGATTGTTATTAGTTATATCATTGGATTGTTTATTGATGAGATAATTACAACAATTTAATGTAGAAGAATCTTAAATAATAATAAATTTTTATTTAAAAATTTATTCAAAATAAAAAAATACTTGCTAAAATCAATAATCCTCATATTGTACATTTGTTTGCATTATCGTCAGTCTACTATAGTGGATTGTCGGACAGAAAATACCCGACTATTTAAGTATCGAACTACCGACAGTTTTTCTCCAGTTTGTACAAAGTAGAATAAATGCACTGAAATACAGCAATCAATTGCATAGAAAAGTCATGGAAATTTTATATTATAACCACCAATCAACAAAATAAAATAATTAATAATTTGTGACTAAATTTCAAAAAAAGTCGTAACAGGTTCAAAAGGTTCATAATGACTTTAAGATATTTTATGAGATTGTAATGCTATTTCATAATTAGAAATTTCACAAATTTTCATTATCTTCGAAATTTTAAATTTTTCATTTCTTTTGTAATATATCTACATAGTAATTCTGCAAACAGTGTCGTGCAATATTCGCAACATAAATAATCTTTTAACACAATTACTCTTCCGTCTCTTACAGAACACTTAGAATCCATTTTCATCATATTTATATTTTTATCAGGAATTTCTGTTATCAACTCATTTTTTAATTTAAAATTAATTCAATACTTCAAAAAAGTTTAACCTATTAAAAATATCGCACAAGATTCTTCTCTATGATAACATAATTTTATGCATAGTTATGTGATTTACAATCTTTCGAAGGAAACTAATGAACCAAAATAATATATATATTCTCCTAGCAAAAAAAAAGTTTTAGCCAATGTTTTAAATCCATTGTCATCATAAAAACACATTTTGGGAAAATAAACTAACTGCAATGAAGGCATTCTAATCGTTAGATTCTCCGAACTGAATTCTGTCAGCGTCTTGTCAATTAATTATCATTCTAAACTTTTCGAATAAAAAAACAGAGTGTGTAAACATCAAGATTTTTTGACTTTGTCAACAAGTGTACCTACGTAATACTCACACTATTCTTCAGAACATAAATATAAAATATAACATGAATAAAGAATTTTAAGCTGTATCTAATCCTTTTGTTTTTAGAGAACTATTTCTGTAGTGATGATAAATTTTAAAAAAATTAATTAAAGAGACACTAACAAAATTCGGTTCTTGGAATCTAACGATGAGAATATCTTCATTGTAGTCAATTTGTTTTTCAGCCAATGGATACAAGTTAAAACAAATATATATCCTTCAGATGTATTAAAAATGCATCTACTCCTTGTAAAAAAAAAACTTTGCTTTTAGAAAAAAATCTAACTTTTTTTATAGTGGACACTTTTGAAAGTTTGAAGTATTATACTGTATATAATTTGTTTTTTTTATTGCTGATAGATTTAAAACAATATTTTCTCAGGTGTATGTATAAATAAAACTAATTATACTTGTTTTAATTGATCTTCTGTTATCCAATGATTCGAATAATTGTTCTATAAATTCTTTCATAGAATTGCTTTATTAAAGAACAAAAAATAAATTTATAAATTGTTACTAAGGTAATTTATATATGTTGATTAATCAATTGTTCATAAATGATCGAAAAGAAAAAAGTGTAGTCTTAATCTGATATAAAACAAAAACAAAACAACATTAAGAATAGAATAGTTTTATATAGTAGACGGATTGAAAATTTATAAAACAAACATAATCACATTAATCCAAGAAACAATAGTACAAGCCGATCGAAAAGAAAAACAAACTTTAGTTTTCTCGCTCTCTCTCTATCGTTTCTCTTTTTACGTCACATATATTTCGATCGGTTTATATGTATAATCGGTGTTCTTTCATGTTTTTTCATATTATTGTAATCGAAAAAGAAGAAATCACTTTGTTGTATCTCATACTTTTTTCAAGATATATTTATTTTCATTAATAGACACACAATATAGAATAATGATACTTAGAAGATTTCTTTTATTTATATTTTTTCTCAAAGGTAAATATTTATTGATTTTTGTATTAAATTGATGATTTAATTTTTTTTTTTAGTTTCTATTCTTCTTGCTGCTGAACAAAAATTTAAAATTGTATGTTATTTCTCAAATTGGGGTTAGTAGATTGAAAAATTCACATGGTTTCTATATAATTTATTTTATTCTAAAGCATATAAACGTCCCGGTGGTGGTTCAATGACTCCAGAAGATATTGATCCTTGTTTATGTACACATATTATATATGCATTTTCTGAAATGGAAAATAATCTATTAATACCAACTGAAAAACATGATTTAAAAGATAATAATCAAGCAGGTAAGATATCAATATTGATTTAAATTGAAACCTTTTTTTTGTGATGAACAAAAAATGAATTAAATTCACATAAATAGTTTGCAATTTAGTGATCGTAAATTATTTATTTATTTTTTTTTTGCACTCTTAGTCTGAAGGAGAATCTAGATCATATAATATTTGTTAATAAATTTTGTGAAATAAAAAAAAAAAAAAACTTAAATTTTAATCATAGTATATATTTTTTTCTTTTAATTGAATAGGTTTTTTCGAACGATTTAATGCATGGAAAAGTGTTAATAAAAATATAAAAACTTTACTTGCTGTTGGTGGTTGGGTAAGAGAATTTCTATTCTATATTAAGAATTTTTAAATAGAAAAATTCCTTTTTTTGTAATTTCTATAGGATATGGGAATGAAAGATTTTGCAGGTATAAAATTATAAGCTTATATTTTATATTGATAAAGATATTTAATTAATTAGGTATTGTTAAATCGGAAAAAACAATGAAAAGTTTTGCAGAATCATCTATTAAATATTTACGTAAACATAAATTTGATGGTCTTGATCTTGGTATGTTGAAATAAATGATAAATTTGATTTATTTATTTATTTTTTCATTTAGATTTTGAATATCCGGGTAGAAAATAAATTTGAATAAAATATTTAAAAATAAAATACTTTTAATAATAGGTGTTGATTGGAGAGATAGTCCAAGAGAAGATAAACAAAAATTTACAAGATTATGTGAAGTTAGTTTAATAAAAAGAAGTTTTTTTTTTAATAAATTTTATTTATTAAGATTTTATATGAAACATTTGAAAAAGATGCTGAAAAAAATGGATATGAACGTCTTCTTTTAACTGCTGCTGTAGCAGCTGCTAAAGTTAATATTGATAAAGCATATGAAGTGGATAAACTTGTTCCGTTAGTTAAATTATTATTATTATTATTATTAATTTCATATTTTTTTTTTGTTTAGAGTTCTCGATTGGTATGTCAATAAAATTATATTGTAAACATTCAAAGTTTTTTTTTTTGTTTTTGTTTTTCCTATATTTTAAAACTAAGGTTTAATTTAATGACTTATGATTTTCATGGATCATGGGATCAAAATCGTGCTCATCATTCATCTCTTAATAGTAAAGATGGTGGAAACGATGATACAATGTATATTGTATGTCATATTTTCAATGATATTTTTTCTTATTTTTTTGAAAAATAATATTTAAATAGGATTTTGCTGTTAAATATTTTCAAAAATTAGGTATGCCAGCAAATAAAATGATGTTAGGTTTAGGTACATATGGTCGAGGTGATACACCAGCTATGCCTTATACAGGTTTTAAAGGTGAAAATGGTTTTGTAGCATATTATGAAGTAAAAATAGATCTTTTTTTTACTTTGAATAATTTTTTTGATTTCTAGAGTTGTATTCAAATTGTTTGTGAAAAAATGAAAGAAACATGGGATGCTAAACAACTTGTTCCATATATAGCAGGTCCATATAATCAACCAAAAGCTGGTGTAGAAAATGTTCGAAGTATGAAATATAAAGTAAAAACAAAAATATCAATGAAATAAATTTGATAAACATAATTCTTTTTTTGTTTTTTTTTTTGAAAAGGCAAATTATATAAAACAAAATAATTTGGGTGGTGCTATGATTTGGACACTTGATATGGATGATTTTCGTGGTCAATTTTGTTGTCAAGGAAAATTTCCATTAATACGAACAATTAAAGCTGTTCTACATGGACAACTTAAATTATTACCAAAAGAAAAAATTTGTTCAACTTGTCCAACTAATGAATATAAAAGTATACAAAATAGATTTATTATAAGACAAAGTATACATCGAATATATATATTTATCTAGATTTTAAACCAAATTCTCAATATCAACAGCCACAAACAACAGAAAAAACAACTAAAAAACCAAAAATATCCAAACGTGATGCAGAAGGACCAAGTAGGATTGATTTTTTTTTTGCAAAATCGAAAAACAAAAAATTTTTTTTTTATTGTTTAGCACCAGAAGATGTTTGTGAAGAATTAAAAGATGGACAATGGCCAGATCCAACTGATTGTAAAAGTTATTTCTTATGTCGTGGTGTCGGTAGTCAATGGGGTGAACAAAAACGTGAAATGTGTTATGCTGGTAAGTATTAAACAATTTCTTGTTCTACAGTAAGGAAAAGTCAGAACGCTGTAACAGATATATAAATATCGTCATTCAATTGAGGCAAAAACTTTCACTACAGGTCTTCCAATTTCAATGGTCTTTTACTACATAGTGTTCTAATAGAAATCCTTAAAAGAATTGAGTTCCTATTTGATATTTGACTAAACTATTCAATTTTTAATATGTCTTTTTCTGAACTTTTAAGAAAAGCTAGTCTAGTTAAATTCTCTATACATTAGGTGTCAGATCGAAATTTGAAAGTATGAGCTTTCTGAAAACTTGAATAAACGTATTTTTAATGTGATAAGAAGTTTTGAATTTTTTCGAAATCGAAAGAGTTTGTATGGAACAGTGATGAATCAGAATGAATATTACATTTGTAAATTCTAACGAGAAATCAGACTATACGATTAAGGAAGAATAGAACGATTTTTCTCATGTTCTGCATTTCTTCTTGGAAATTTTACATTGTAGATAATTAACATTTTTAACCTTTCGATGACGAAAAGATTTCCTATGTAAAAGCAAAATTTTATTTGCAATTTTTTAAAGAAAACAAAATTCATTTAATCCAGCTCATACAATCTTAACATACGTAACTTTTCAATAGTTTCCATATTGACTATGAGCGGCGTACGATTAATTTTTTAAATAGATCCATTGTCTTTCCCCTTCCTCTAATAGTAGAAGGTGTGAGTGAAGATAAGAAGAACATTCACATTCTATTGATGCATACAGTTTTTGTATGTAGTAAAAATATATTTATTTCCATTGATTAGAAATTTCTTTGCGAATTTATTAAAACAAGAAATAGCAACGAAAGAAAAAGTGTTCACGATTGATACTAAGTTTATTAAAAGTTCTAGCTGCGAATATATTTTTTTGAAAGAAAAAACCTGATGAATGAATGGTTTCTCTGTATTCTTGGGAGGGTTTCCTCCCTCCTGATTAGAACGAAACGACACCTATAAATAAAATCGATCGAAAACATGGAATCATTACCAGTTGATGTAATTACGTAGATGACACACGTTCTAGAAGATTGATATTTACATTTAGGAGAATACTTTCAAATGACTTTTTATGAAAGAAAATGTACGTAGGACAAACTATGTTGCCCTATCCTAATGACAATCTCTGACATATAGTAATTAACTTTTGACATATGCAATTAGTAATAATAACAAGAATGTAAAATTGTTCGTCCTAATTTTCTTTTTTAATTAAATTATATGTTGATTATCTTGTAAAAATTAAAGAATAGAAAATAAAAAATAGTCGTCAATGAGATTCATACTTATTGATATTGTATTTAAATTTAAAAAAAATTTAGCAAATTATTTTTTTTTTTATTCAGGTTCTTATTTTGATCCTAATGATAAATCATGTAAATGGGTTGGTGCTGATAAGGTTTATTCGATATTCTTTTTTGTTTTTTTTCTTCTCTCGTATTTTACTTTTTAAAATTTTTTTAGCTTAATTGTGAAGATTTAGTCGAAGGTTATGATAATCCAGTTGCTAGTGTAACACAATCAACATCAAATGATGATGATGATGTTGAAGATGAAGATATAACAGATGAAATGGGTAAATCAACAAAAAAGAAACTATCTAAATCCTCCTCCTCCTCCTCCTCATCATCATCAAATAAACCAATATCAATATTAAGTCGAACAATATCTGAATATGATACATGTACACCAGAAAAATCTGTTGAATTTGATCCTGTACAAGGTAATAGATAAATTCCTATTTTTTGTTTGACATGATTTGCTTCATCTACCATAGCCTTCTATAGGTATGCTTTGTTACTCTTGCGAAAGTCAGAAGGAGAACAGCGATTGTCAATTAAATCCCAATCAGACAACAACAATGATGTGCGAATCAATACAACAAATTTGTTACAGCAAAAAAACTATAAACGCCATCGGTAAACAAAACAAAATATAAATTTAAGAAAATCTTCGTTTATATATATATATCTTTAAGGAAAACTAATGCAATTCAGTCGTGGTTGCACAATGCCACCATTATCGACGGGCAATATTACTCAAGAATTACAATGCCTATCAAGCAAAACCGACGGAAAGACTATCTGCGTGAAATATTGCCAGGACAATTTATGCAACAATCAGGATATAAGGTTAATTTTTTGTTTTGAAAATCTTAAATTGAAATCTATATTTTATTTAGCGATGGCGCACTATCAATTACAATCGATCGAATGACATTCATCATTTATTATCTTCTAGCTCTAATATTAATGATCATAACAATACAAGATTATTGTTAATTCTGACGTTTTTATTAAAATATTTTTTTTTCTAGTTCGAAAATATGAACTAACTATTAAATTGAGCGCGCATATATTTCTTTTGTTGTTTTGTGTTTCTTTATTAATCTTTCTTTATTGCTCTGTACGTGTTTGATCTTATTGTCAAAAAGAAAAAGAAAAAAGAAAAGCACTCCTAAAGGATTATAAGTACACACTAAAATTGATTTTATTACAAATAATCAAATATTTAGCAACATTTTTCAAGGTTTATATAGTCTTCTTTTTTTTTTTTTTTTTGATTTCTTATTATTTAATATTTGTTTATAATGTCAAATGAAAAATGACATTTAATCAAAAAGAACTCTTTAGCGTTTGATATTTACTTCTTTTTTTTTCTTTTTTTGGTTTACTCCATTAACAGATTTCATGGTCGACATGCGCTACATTTATTCTGTCTTGAGTGCTTTATGTACATATGTAAATAATACAAGTTTATTTAGTATTCTCTTCTTTTCATTAGTGAATATTGATTATTCGACAATTGAAATCATATGAAAAGAGGTCGAATATCAGATGATGTAACCGTAACTGAGGTTTTTCTTTTTTTTTTTTTTGGTGTTTTTTCGCTTCTTTAGTTGCCTTCATACGAAATCAAAATAAATCCTGATAAAAAAAATTACAAGAGGACAACGAGAGAGAGAGAGAGGGCGAGAAAGAAAATGAAATATTCTCTACTTTTAAAAGTACATGTGTGCATAGATCTATACAGACTTAATGATTACCTTTTGGCCTTGTTACCATTGCAAGACACTTCACCTTCTCAACGGTTTTTTTTTTGTCATACAAAAGAGGTTGAAAAGAAGAAATTAGGGTAGTTCTGTAAAAAGAAAGAAAACCTTATACAATGTCTCACATTTTTTTCTTTTACATTTTTTTTTTTCTTTTATGATGACCTAATATTTTAGGATACAAAAATAGTACTCTCTTTCTTCTCTCTTATTCAAAGATTTTTTTATTGTCATTCTTATATATATTTTTTTTTTTTGTGTTTCTAATTATAGATATATTATCTATCTATCTCTTATGTTGATGATAATTAATTGTTTTAAAATATCAATATGTCTAGTGGTGAAATAGATACGACTGCATTAATTATGTATGTGAATTATAAAATATAAATTTTATGAAAAGTTTATCTTAATTTTTAATTCAGTTCTATATGTGTAATTGTACCAGCAGCGATTGCTATTAGCGTTTGTGCGATTATCTATTTTGCACATCGAAACAGAGATCGAAAATTACATCGTCAAACAAGTATGAATTATTTGAATTTATGTATTTCTCAAGTAAAACACAAAACCTAAATCCTATAGAGTCGATGGATAATTTATATAAAAATGAGAAACAAAAAAAAAAGATTATAATGTTTATAGCTGTTCGATGCACTCGAAACTCCTTGAGAAAGAGTAGCAGTTTGTAATAAATCAAACGAAAATAACCTCAGTGAACTTTATTTTTTTTTTGATAAGCTTATTATTTTTTTTACGATAAAATAAATTGTTTTTTTTTTTATTAGATAGATCATCATCATTATCATCATCATATGACTATGAACAATCACGTGAACGACTACCTCAAAATACTTATATAATTGATTTTACAAGTGTCAATCGTTCTCAACAACAACAACAACGTCGTCCACGTGCACCACCACCTGTATTTGAACAATCACCACCATCATATGACATATCAATTAATCAAACACGACGACAACCTATACCATTATTTTCATCTATTCGTACAATACCATCAAGAACAATTGTTCATCAATCTTCACCAATTATAACTCCATCTATATATTCAGCAATGCCACCATCTTATGCTGAAATATTTTTAAAACCACATACATTACTAAATGGATGAAAAAAAATCATTCGTTTATTTTATTTATTATTAATCATTGATTGTTTATAAAAACAAAAAATAGGTTCTCTTTGTTCTTCTTTTTCTATTTATATTTTTTTACATTTTATCTCATTCGTATTATTTACATAATTTATAGTTTTGAAAGCAAAAAGAAATAAACAAATGAGAAAAAAATATTATCATTGAATTTGAACTGTTTCATGATTATTATTTGAATTATATGTTATTAATTTTGAACGAAATGAATGATCACGACAATATGAAACCTTTTATAAAAAAAAAAGAAAAAGAAAGAAGAAATTTAATAAATAAATAAATCTTTATAATTTTATCTTAAATACATACTACACGAACTAATGAACATATTAAATCAATAAAACCTAACATTAATGATAATAAAAAAACAATAAATGACCAATCAAATTGTTCATTTGTACGACTTGTAATTACAATAAATCCAATTGTTATAAAGACCATAGCAGCTAATACAAATATTAAAGTTGTTACAATAGCAAGTTCTTCTACAACAAGAGAAGAACATTATATATATATATTCTTTTTTTAAACTCACCTAAAATTAGATTAATACGAGATCGTTTTCGGCTGCATAAAAAAAAAATATTTGATAATTCAAATATAAAATTTAAGGAAGTGATTATAGAAAAAAATAATATTCCTCCTTTAGTATGATCCCTTGCATAACATAAATTACCAAAATCATAGCATGCTAATTTAAGACCTATATTAATAAATGTTAAATATTTTATTATACAAAAAAACAAAAAAAATTACTATCACACCTCGATGTTCATTTCCATCAGTATTTCGTATCCAATGATGAGTATGAAGTGATACAAACATTGTAATACATGTCATCAATTTGCATATGAAAATAAAAGTACTCAAAAGTGGTGAATGCATTTATGTAACTAGCTTATACTTTCATATGATCGATTACGATTCTTTCCTTGATCTATAATAATAGTTCTATTATATATATATATATATCTTCTTTTTTCTTTCTAGATAAGCATCAGATTACAAAACAACAGTAAAAGGTAATGCTTTGGTATTGAATATCAGCTTAATTTTTATCTTATATATTATCTAACAAAATTTAATATAATTTCAAAACTATAGTTGTAGTCTCTTAAAGACATATTATTTTTATATGAATTATTTCATATTGTTATAACACTTCAATAATAAGTGTAATTTCTTGTTTTCTATCAAAATATTGTTTTTTCTTTCATTAAATAAAAGATTTTTACAACATTTTAACAATAAACAATCGAAAATATTGATATTAAAAAAAATCGAATTAGGGAGTAAGTCTCTCTATTGTTAAATTTAACGAATATAATCAATAATTGATTTATGTCTATAAGATTGTTTACCATGATTTGTTATACTTGTTTCATCATATTGACAATTATTCATCTATATATATATAAAACAAAATTTATAAATGACAAAAAATAAAAATAAAACTTACAATTCGAACTATCGAACAAATACAATCAATAGGTATAAGAATAGTAGCTAATCCAAAAGCAAAAAATGTCCAATGAAGATGAACTATACGCATTTCAATTGATATACGAATATGAACAATAGTAACCCAAATACAATGAATTGTAACAGCACATAATAAAGCAATACTTGTTTGTTCTAGATTGAAAAATATAGATTTAAAAAAAAAAATCAACAAAAATAAAATATAAATTTTGAATTTACCAAGAAAACAATTTAATAATGTTGGAGTACGTGACCATATTGAATAGAATAAAATAAGATTAATAATTTCTAATAAAAGACTAATAATTAAAAGTATACAAGGTGCAATAACAATTAAATGTGGTAATGGCATTTGATTTTCTAAATTACAAAATGCTCCATATGAAATACATAAATCTTGAACTAAATCTTTGTTTACTATATATAAAATAAAAATTGATTATTTTATATTTAAAAATAAAACAAAACATATATCTTATTTTACCTGAATAATTATCAATTTGAAACCAATGATATGCATAAACAGATATAAGTAAACATATTAATGAAACTGTTTTACAAGTTAATATAACAATAGATAATATATTCATATACATATTGCTTGTAAATATAAATCTTTATATAATAATAGATATGTAATAGATAAGTAACTTATTATAAAATATCATTTGATTAAATACAAATACATACTGTTTGATTTAGATGAATTGATTGAATATGATTCTACAGTAAAAGAAAAAAAAAACATTTTATCATATATGACATGAAGTATTTCTTTTCAAATCCAATGACCATGTGTCTTATATAATGTAAAAGAGAATATCATATTTAGCATTAATTCTAAGCAAAATTAATGTTTTAAGTATAATTTTGAAAAGTGTTTATGTGCACATTATAGAAAAAATTAAAATTTGCCTTGACAAAAATTTTTCATACTCACATTAATAATACTAATTTTCATTAAATAAAGTTCTGCATATTATTCTTTGAAATGATAATTAATAGAATTCATTATAAGACTACTTCAAATACATAAAATATTATATATTTACTATTATATACTTTAAATTATGTTGAATCTCATGGTTGACTTCTAGAAGATTGTTTCAATTACAAACATAGAAAGAAAATCAAGAACACCAAAATAATTGCATAACGAAATCAAAGCTCAAAAACATAATCATTGCTTTAAGAGAGTTGTCATATGTACATTGCTTCTTCTAAGAGATCGATAAAAGGTCTAAATGATCAATAGATCTGAACCTATCAAAATAATTTTCTCAAAAACATCATCATTAAAAGATATAAACGATCAAATAGAATATATTTATATGTGATAGAAAAAAAAAAGAGAAAAGGAAATGATTGAACCAATTAGCTAAATCATATGAAAGTTTTAAATTATGACAAAAAGTTTTATGAAGAATTTCCTGTTGAGAAATAGCAAAACAAGAAAAGAACAAAAACAGGAAAGACTCAAGCAAAAATAAGAAAATATTTAAACTAAAAATAATTCATCGACGTAATTCAATAGTTATTTGTTGTTCATGTTTATATAAGATTGAGAGAAATATTGAATATTAGTCAAAATACAATTAAGAAAAATTTCATTAAGAAGTTCGAATATTTAATTTGAGCTTCCGCAAATTGATAAAAAATGTTTTTATGATTCTCCGGAGAAAAAAAAACACTATGCCGAAAGATGATTCTATAATTATTGCATCTTTTTATTAACATCAATCTATTGTTATTTTATTTTTGCATAATCTTAAATATTAAACAAATATGACTTCCGTTTGTTTTTCTCTTACCATCGGAATATTGTTTAATGAATATTACAGACAACAAAAAAAAAACAAAGAAGTCATCCTACCCTACTTAACAGAATAAATGCTTCTGATGAATATACGCACATTTTTTATCTATTAAAATATGTTAACATTTATATAACAGAATAAAAATAGAAGCATGAAATGTAAAAAATTTGCATGACATGAGAATAACTTCATTAACTGAAAAAATATTTCTTCTTAACTAAAGTAATTTATAAATTACAAGGACACTACTCTTTTTTGTACGTATTCTTTCATGACTATATATATATATATATATCCGAGTAACCCTTAATAATTCAAAATTACGGAAAAAAAAGAGAGGTTTATTTAATTAAAAAAAAAATATATATATATAGAAGTGCTACTTCATTTAAAATGAGTAACGACTAGAAAATAATAATTATTTGATACGATTATTCATATCAATTTTTCCCAAATGATGACTTATATATATATATCATAATAATTACGAAGAAAACATTTTAGCTAAAACTAGAAGTTATGCAAAAAAAAAAAAGAAAGAACCATTCGTTTCGTTCTGTCCGATATAAATGTCAAGCAGTTCTCAGAATGATTTTATCATGTATTGAGATCTTATTTCAGTCAAAATAAAAGAAGATAAACATCTGGTTCATTTAATGCATGAAAAATAAAAATAAAAGGATTAATACATGTGACATAGCACTAATACAATGAATAACTATCTATGAAAAGAAACGAATACTGAGCATAGATATTTATAGGCTATTCCAGGCAAAACAGTATGTATTCACCTTTTATTTGACTTTGATGCTTTACAAGGGTTATTTATCTGAATACCGCTAACTATATGAGAAAAAAAATCTAAAAACTTTACATTATGAATTGTATCTTTGATGAAATTTTCAGACTCCAAAGAATTGGCTTCTAGAGATCCTATCAAGTCCTGAAACAAACATTTTTGTCTTACTAGCTAATGGAAAGTAAATGAATTTTTTCTCTTTGGAAAATCTAGGCATGCTCAAAAAAAAAAAAAAAAAACTTTGAATAGAAATTTTCTTGCTTCAAGAGTTACCTATAGAATGTATTATTTATTTTTCAAAACTGATGCCTCAATTGAAAGTCATGAAGCGAAAGTCAATGTTCTTTTTTATGTCATGTCGATACAGCTAGATTTTTTATTAATAACTCTTCTGAATAAAGATCTCTAGTGATGATTGTTTCAAAATATCTAAAGTAATTTAATATACATCTAATATATAAAATTTAGCTCTAGGAAAATTTCTTATCCCGAGGTACATGTATTTTAATTTTCCAAAGTCACGTACCAACAAATGATTCTATATGTGAATTGCAACATTATTGTATTCTTTTAGAAAAAAAAAAAAAAAACTTTCGATTTGAACGATAATAATTAGTACATTTTACTGTACTATTTGAGATGAAAAATACTTGAAACTATAAATTGAAAAGAATTTTCTTTAAATACTATGATTTACAACTGAAATTCTCGGTTCAATAAATGTGAACAATATAAAACTAATAATATCTTTTATACTATATATTCACAATATAACTTCTATAAGATGCAATTTAGAATCGATTCATAATACCTAAGATAGGAACTAAACTAATAAATATATAATATGTTTACCTTAATCTTAATTATAAAGTATAATACATGTATAGTCTTGCGTGATATGTTTCTCGTAGAAAATATTGCGTGACATGTTGAGACTATCTTTTTTTGCATGCTGCAAAAATTTTCTAACGCTAAATTTTCAATAATGGATAATATGATATAAATTTTTAACTTAAACTATGTAGTTATTTGGCTTTCATTCAATAGTATGTCGATCTAAGATTTAGAAGAAAAAGAATTATGAAATAAAAAGTTAAACTAATCTTTCAAAATTTAAATAAATAAAGAAATGATCAAGTTATACGATATATTTTAATACTAGATGATAGCAAAAAAATCGATCTTTTAGACTTTTATCTGTTTAGTATCTTAAGATTTATCTAAGATAAATTCTTGATTTATTTTTAAATACTAATGAAAATTTATTAGAGAAATCTAATTGATTGAAAACAATTTAAGATATTGAATTTTTTCTTATTAGAATATAACAATACAATAAAGTTGCAATTTACTCATATAAATGTAATGACATATTGAAATAGATCTCAAAAAAAAAAAATTGGAAGAGAATTATTGGATAAAGAAAAAAAAATGAACAACAACATAAAAGATTCTAACATATTGTAAACTAGTAATCAGAAGAAAATAAATGCTATGCATGATTATTACTGCATCTCACATCACACACACACACACACACGAGAAAAATTCTTATTAAAGAAAAAAAAAACACAAAAACAACGACTTAATAATATAATAGAAGTTCTTTTCAATATAAGCTCTGCAAATTTTGTTTTTATTCAACAACAAATTTATTTTAACGATAAAGATACACAACATCAATCAACAATATAATCGACATTATTTTCAACAACTTTCGTCCATCCTATTAGCAATTATTCAATCCCACGCTGGATGTGGGTGTATCTTAGTCATAAAATAAACTTGTTATTGAACAAAAAAAAACCAATTACAGAACTTATGTTGCAATCAAATAGAAAAAAAACCTTAGCTATTTGATCAAAATGATTTTATCATATGCAGAAATGATTTAGACCTATGAAAAGAATTTATATCATAGACAATCATTGAATCTTAATGAAAGAATTCTCATGTAATATTCTTAATATTACATACATGAAAGAAAAATAATATTTAAAAAGCAAGATCATCATGATGTAATTGCTCTTGCCAATCACAGGAAGATAATTGTATTAGGACGTATTTCTTCATCATCCTTTTACATAATCATTCAGAAATGCAAGAAGAAAGTCATTTATATAATAACGAATGGCTTATAATAAACGGGTCAAAAATTTTTTCTTTTTTAAGAGCACTTACCCACGCATTGAAGACTTCATTTTATGCTCATTCGATAGAGGATTTCCTGCTCTACAAAATTATCATCTTTGTTCTACAAATAATGTCGTTGTTTTTTTTGTCGACGCAAAATTTAAAAGATGAGCACTTACTCAATCGTATAATTGCGACGATCAAAAAAACGAGAAAATAACGAAAATATTTCATAAAGATTTCGCTAAAATTTCGAATATATTGCAAAGTTCTTCAAAACAAAAAAAAATAATTCTATATCTTTGAAGAAATATATATATATATGAGGAAAATTTTTGAAGTAAAACAATCCGATTCAGAATTAAATTCTATACTCGACAGCATGAGAACAAACGTGTTGTAGATCAAGTTTCACTTTAGAAAGCATGATTTTCCAGAATGTGTCTCAAAATACTACTAGATGTTGATTCATAACCATTTTATTGTGAACAACTGCTGCAGAAAATCAGAAATTGCAATTATACGATTGAGTAGATGCTCATCTTTTGAATTTTGTATCGACTAAGAAAAAGTTATTTGAAAAACAAAGACAATAGATTCATAGAGCAGAAGATTCTCTATCGAATGAGTCTAAAACGAAATATTGAATGCGTGGGGAAGGACTCTAAAAAGAAGAAAACATTTTTGACTCGTTTATTATGAGACACCCGTTAGAACAAGACATTATTCATATATAGTCTGCGATCGTATATCAACAATGTCTTTTACGGAGATGGGTGGGAGGAAGGCGTTTTCTACCCTATTTATTTCAACACCTCTTTTAAGTCGTGTTTTATGAAATAACTAA